TTCTGTTTTTCTTTCTATTGTTAGAGGAACATTACGGTGATTTGAGTCAAGCAGAGGTCCCACTCTGTCAAGAAATCGAATCTATCAGACAAACAACCTCCTACTCTCTGCGGCGGACGTAGTGGGACCGGAGACAAAGGTCTTATTATAAAGCATTATTTTTCTGCACATAGTCCCTGGCGAAACATTGTGTTGCTTTGATGGATACTGCTGCTGCACTTGGTGTGATGAAGGAACAGCCCAGGTATCCGTCTCACAAACCAGGTCGACTCTTTCCATAAGCTCCTAGAACAGTTCTTTGAGCCTAATAACATAAACTATAACATCTCCATAAATTCTTTAAGCAGATTCCACATTGAGATTCAGAGCGTTCCAGTTGCTGCCCCCTATCCCGTGCTCTTATCAGACCTGCAGTCTCATGCTCTCAGGGAGTATCATCCATCTAAATCACGAGCTGGCGGCTCATACAGTGTGTGCCTGTGGGTGGAGGTTACGTGAGTCCGATGCTGTATTTCTGCACTGATCTGTGGTGTGGCTAAAAAAAAAGAAAAACAACTCTTCTGGCACATCTTCTGGAACACCAGGGATACAAACATGCAGTAGTGTGTTTGTGGTGGGTCCAAGCGGATGGTAGAAATACCACGCTGTTGAGACCAAAGTAAAGTGGGTCACGAGGTTTGATACTAAACCTCGGTGGAAGTTTGTCTACTGTCTCCTGCATCTTCTGTGTTTATAGTACATTCCCCCGACATCTCAACCGCCGCATGTGTGCTCAACTTCTTTTTAAAAATTGATTTCTTCTTTGTGATCACAGCTGTCACAACCAAACTAAGCTCAAATAAAGCAGCTTTAAAATGATTTAGTGGCTATAAACACGGATAATTCTCTTCATATCTACCAGATACTAAGTTTTCTTTGCAAGTACATCTATTTATTAAGAGACGTTTCTTATCAGTGTCCCGCTGCTCCTCCAAGTATACAGAATACAGCTGGTCTTAAATCCACATAACACGCTTGAGTTGATGGACTTATTTATATAAATTGTTTTGTTTTTTTTAACTCAGGCTCATTAAAATCTCCTGTAATCCCTTGTAATCTCATTTACAAGAGAGAGCAAGAACAAGACAGATCCACAAGAAGACAATCAGCAGCAGGCC